TTTTTTTTAACTGTTTTTGGCTCCTTCCCTTTGCCATTGACATCTCTCCTCATCTTGTTTTTTGTTTTGTTTTGAAAACAGCAGTTTGTTTCTTCTTGGAGTCCCCATCCATCTTCCTTTTTTTCTTTTGCCACACTTTAGAATAGAAAAATAGAACAATCCAGCGGCCTAGCTCAGTTGGTTAAGCACGCAAGTGGCATTCAAGAGGTTGTGGGTTCGAACCCCGGTGCACTTGGTGCCAATCAGCTGTGATAGTCCGCTTGTTAACCCTGATCGGTACTACAGGAGGGGGGTCAACACGGGTGTGAGTGTGAGCGGGAGTGGGTTGTGTGTGATGGGTGTGTGGGAGAGTGCTGGCCCATAGCCACTGCTGCTACTCTCGATGGGGGGTGGGGGAAGTAGATGGGAAGACACAGCTACTGGCAAAATGCTCGGTCTCTGTGTTAGCCGGTTCCCCCCCCCACCGGCGGCCCAAACCTGCTCCATGACCACCCCCAAATTAGGGCGGTGGGCAACATGCATCCCCTTAATTGTGAGAGTTGTACCTATGCTTGCAGGGGGAGTCCTCTGTATAGGCTTAGGAGTAGTGGTAGGTAGATAGTGAAAGGTGAAATTGAGAGAAGAATATAGCTTAGTGTGAGGGGGGGAAAAAGAAGGAAAAAAAAGAAGAAAAAAGAAAAATAGAACTGGCCAATCGGATCCAACTCTGAGCTCTGCAGCTAGTTCCTGAATGAGTGATTGTTTTCCTCGAATTGTTTCTGACGAACGGGAAGGTCTTTTTTCATTTTCATTTTCATATTCATTTTTTTTTTTTTCTTTTTTTTTTTGTCGTGACTTTTGACCCCCCCCCCCCCCAAGTCCAGGGTGTTGTAGAGGCCAGTTACTAGGCTCACATTGATCGCCGGAAGCTGTCAGCCATAGTTGCCCTGAAGAGACGAGGCTACCTCACATCCCATCCTCATGTCAATACTCCTAGCGCACCCCCTATTCCTACTATCCTACCTCCTGGCTAATCTAGATGGAAAAGGGGGGACTAGTGCTAGAATGTCATGCCTTTCTGGCGCCTACACAAGGTGAAGAGGCACACACAGTCCCCCATCCCAAATTGTTTCCTAGGAATGGGCTGGATCAATGAATTGGAAGGCTTCATAAGGGAAGTTGGGCCAGGTTCCCAGCATGTGCTGATGCATCAACTTATCAAAAAAAAGAAAAAGATAAAAAAAGTGTGACCAGCACTCAGGACCATAATTACCCTCCCATCTAGGGGAGCTTGGACCGAACAGTAGTGACTACCAGGGCTAGTGACCCAGCCCTGCTGGAAGCGGTAGTCCAACGAGCCTCGTTGTATGGGAACTTCGGACGCCAGGCTTAAGCAATCACCTATTAGGCCCTAAGTAGACCGACTAGTAACTCACGCCCTCTCTTATCATCGAGACGCCTATTATTAGTTTTTGTGACCTCCTCCCAGCCCTATGGTTATGTATGTGTGTGTGTTCGGTATTGTAGGTATGTGCCTGTAGGCTATGTGTATGTTTGTAATGTGCGCGGACCCGTAGCAGACGTTGCTCCCCACCAGGGAGCATCTGCGAAGTGAATACCAGTGAGAGGTGCTCCTATCACCTCTACCAGTGCCTGTGTGAGCCATGTGTAGGTAGTATGTATAGGAGCCCTAGAAACACCTTGCCTCGACGCAGCGGAGGGGCGACCCTATGCGCCGTTAATCTGTTGCCAACGAATAGACAGCCCTCCTCCAGACCCCGGTCATCAGCTGGGGCTTCTTCCCCTCCAAAGGCCCCCATGCCTACTTGATCTATCCTCAGTAGTAGACTGTCTCCCACCTATCAGCAGATGCCGGTCATCGGCTAGCTACTTCCTATAGGGATCGGAAGGGACAGACTACAGACTCTGTAGGTGGTGGGCCATCATCCGACCTTCCACTAGCCCACAGCCTTGTCCCTCCGATGTGCCTGTCGTCGTTGTACCTGTAGTTAGTGTCTCATGTGTGTGTGTGTAATATGTGGTAGAGACAGGCCTATCTGGACAGGACCCCCCCAAAGTCCGGAACCGGACTTGAACCTGTGACCTACAGTATGAGACTGGAGGGTTCTACCACATGCACTACCGTAGGAAGTGGATATAATGTGTGAAATATCTAGGCTGGGGGAGATCATCAGAGCGACCAGTGTCTGTAATAGTACCATGCGTCAGCCCAGGGTGTGTGTCCAGCCGTGCATCATTCTAACGCCCTGCCGGTGTCCATGCGCAAGGCTGTGGAGTTTTGAACCTGCAACCTTATACCACAATGTGCATTTCCAACCGGTGCTCGGCGGTCGCTGGCCGCCAGCTGTTGGAAGAAATGTTTTGAGACCCCACTCACTGCTGGCGGCGAACGCAAGTACTGTTGTTTCCACTCTGCCTACCTCCGCTTTTATAGCACACCAACCAATCCCCGTGCCTCCTTTCCGCACGGGATGGCTGGTACACTGGCCAACGTCTAGAGTCTGCCAGCATACCAGCCATACCAGCCATCCCGTGCAGAAAGGAGGCACGGTGATTGGTTAGTGTGCTGAAAAAGCCGAGGCAAACTTGCCCGAAAAGGCAAGTCTTCCTTATTGGGTAACAGAACCCTTGGGAAGTGCCGAAAATTGCTGTGGCAGTGGGGTCCCATTGCACTTGCCCATTCCCATCTGTGCTGGCGGATGCTTTCCTGGCCGCCAGGTACTGCCAGCCAGTGGGGTCCCTCCCTTAGTCTCAACCGCACCTGCAAATCAAAATCAACGTCTATTCGGCACTGACCACATCCAATCAACACTGATTACTTGTTTTGTACATTCTTGATCCAAAGATGATGAACACTGAATGCATTGCTACCCGTTGGAAGCAGTTTGCAAACATCTGTTGGTTAGCACGGACCCTCTGCCTCTATGCAATACCAAGAGATCGAAGTAGTGTTTCTTTTTTTCTTTCCCTCTTTTCGTCGACAAGCAATCTACCTGGAAGCAGGTGGAAAGGCCTGCTGCTACCGTGTAGCTTCTACTAGCCTCAGCCTTGCCGTTTCCCCTCCCATCTTCTCTCTCTCTCTCTCTCTCTCTCTCTCTCTCTCTCTCTCTCTCTCTCTCTCTCTCTCTCTCTCTCTCTCTCTCAGGTTTGCAACTTTGAACGAGTCCATTCCGATTTTCAAAGCCAAGTCGCGCATCTTACACAGAGAAGATTAGCATGGCCCCTGCGCAAGAGCAAACAAAAAAAAAAAGGAAATCGACAAGAACTTGGACACTAGAAAGGAAGAAGGAAAGGCAAGGACAGGAAAGAAAGAAAGGAAGAAAAAGGAAGGGAAGGAAACTAGGAAAGGAAAGTAGGAAAGGAAAATAGGAAAGGAAGAAAAAGGAAGGACACATTAGAAACTGAAGAGACTCCAAATGAAGGAAGAAAGAACACATTAGGAAATGACAACGCCTTAGACTGAGGTAGATGCATCCATGCTATGGTGTATGGACAGTGTTTTGGGGCTGGTGCATAGGGGGCAGGTGGTGGGGGTTTTGGGGAGGAGGTTGGGGGCATGCGTGTAGTAGCACGATGCTATACATCCCCATCCCCATCCCCATCCCTATCATCATCTCTCTTGATCACCCTCATCTCTCATCTCGTGATGTGCAGCACTGGAGCGGTCCCATGGCCGTCCATCCACCACCTCACCTTATAGTCCCTCCAACTCTCATGTACATACAGTACACAGGAAGGATGAACCTGGTCGTAAAATGCCGACTTAGGACGAACATAGCACCGGTGGTAAGGTTCTGTGTTACATCTTCGATGCCACACGAGCAGCAGCGCAGCAGCAGTGAGCGAGCAGCAGCAGCGGCGACTGGGTGTACCGGCGGCCATCGCCGCCTGAGGTATCAGGAGTTGGAGGCCTCTCTCCTCCCTCCCCTCGCCAGTTCCCTCTCTCTCTCTCTCTCCTCCTCGGCTCCTTTCTTCTTCTTCTTCTTCTTCTTCTTCTTCTTCTTCAGATTGGAGACATATACTAGTTGGACAGAGATCAGTGTCGGACTTCGGTGGTATGAGACTGTGGTACTTACCGGATTGGAGACTTGGAGATTGTTGGGGTTGATACTTGGCGGCATCACAGTTCGGACACCGGTTACATTTGGACTCTGTATCTCYGACATTGGTGACYKATTGTCCTCGACATTTTGATCTTGTTGGATGACATTTTGGACTACCATATCRGTGACCTATCGGATTCTATCTCGGTGACCTACCGGTGCTGTCTACCTCCCCCACTTCCTTCGTCTCTCCTCCCACCTTTCATCTGTGTATGTGTGTACGGGATCTGGGCATCGTCCATGCTTGGCCCAGACCCCACCATCTCACGATTGTATGTGTGTGGAGTGATTCTATGTGAGTCAGTCTATGTGAGTCAGTCCGTTTATCAGACTTCCGCTGCATATGTGCTCATCCTACATTGGTTGATCTTTGGTTCTGCCCATACTCATTGAAGTATGTAACATTCTGACTGCACATCAATAGGCCTAGCTCAGTTGGTAGACCAACCGACTGCTGAAGTATAGACCCAAGTTTGAATCCAGATTCAATCAGATGAACAGAACAGGGGACGACAGTATCCATACCAGGAAACGAAGAAAGGGGTCCATATATGTCAGCAACAGTGTGGATTGGACATTTGTTGATTCTGTTTTTTTATTTTTTTTTCACCGCATGTGTATTCTTTAGTGAAAGACGGAAGGGTCCGGTCAAAATCATAACACTGGTGGGGGCAGCTCCCGCATTTTCCCTCGTTGGAGGCTTGAGCATGGATGTGGCTGCTACGGGGTTCCCTGTAATAATACTATAATGACACTAAAAGAGGCGTGAAAGGCCGTCCTGTCCAGATTCCACAGGTAACTGAATTGCTTGGGCTTAAAAGAATAGCCTTTATTAATTAAAAATAAAATAAAATAATAACAATGGGTAATGCCCCCAGACCTGGCCTTTATTTGGGGTGGTTGGCCCCTCCTTTCCAATTAAGTAATGAAAGTTTTTGCTGTTCCGCCCCCCCCAAAAAAAAGTATGGCCAATAACGAACCAACGTGCCTAGCGCAGTTGGTTGGTACACACCCCTGATCTGTTGAAATACAGATTCAGGTTCGAATCCAGATACCTTTTAGATGAAGGGAATAAATTTCAATTTTCAATAATTCTGAACAAAATCATTCAGAAATTCAGAATGGCCTGGGCCCGGTCAGTTCAATCACCAATGATGATATCTACTAAAGGCCAGTCATCGGTCGCCCTTTAAGGTGTCGTCTTATATCCACCAATGAATCAAATCAATGTGGAAATTTTGGAAAAGAAGTTGCCCATATAATATGTGACCTATTTTCGTGAACTCTTTTCTATTGTTTGGTCCTGCAGGCAACTGTCTATTGTTTGGTTCTGCAAATCTATTGTGACGCATTTTGATGTGTTTCGATTATTTCAAACAAGAAACTTGGAATGCTTTTGAGCAACTGTAATCGCCATCATTTTTTGGTCTGAGGGTCGATTACGTATGGCAGCAGGTGAATGCGTACAAAAAATCAGGTGAAAGTTCAAGGGTTTCCGCGCTCACTCAATCGACACAGAGTGAATTGGTATGCTTCATCGAAGCGGTTCTTCGACTTTCGCGTGCAGCACGAGAGTTTGTTAGTTTTCCCAAAGAACACCCAATGAGGTCGGCACGGAGCTGCTGTGTTTTGTGAAATTTTCATCTTGCATGCTGTTCCGCCGATGTACTTTACGGTGGTGTCCGTTGGTTGTGGAATGTCATTAAAAAAAAAATTAACTCATTGATTTGTTTCCACCTCTATGTTGTGAGTTTTCTAATCAACCGGATACAGAATAATAAAATAAAATGCAGATAAAATCATAAAAGTTCATAAACTGCATGAAAAAAATAAAATGAATAAAGAGGAATAGCCATCTGTAACAGTGGATAAGGAAGGTATCTCCCTGACGGGCCATCGGTCCAAGAGATCTCCCCGGCCATTGCGCTCCCTTGCATGAGATGATCAGCGAGCTGTGCATGGGGCGGTACTGTGTCATGGTGTCTGCTTATTGGGCCTCGCTCTGCTGCACAGCACTCTACATGCATTTGGATGCTTTCTGGACCAGGTGCGTTCGGGCGAGGCCAACATTCTGAATGCATTTGGTCCAGAAAGGGTCCAAATGCATGTAGTGTTGTATAGTGGAGTGAGACCCATTGTCTGTTTTTTTTAAAATTTCCTGTGAGCTCGGAGAGTGGTTGCTGTTGGTTGACGTGTGGAGATGACCTTTTTTTTTCTTCCCCCCCCCCCCCCCCCCTGATATCCAGCTGTCCTTGAATCGTTGTTGTGTCGTGGTGTCTGCTTATTGGGATTTCCTGTGAGCAGTGAGAGTGGTCGCTGTTGGTTGAGTTGTTGTGGAGATGACCTCGATTTCTTTTCGACTTCTCAACGATCCAGTTGATTTACTCTGACCTCGGTGATCCATTTGATTTTATTCTGACGCCAGGGAACGGCGAGGAAAGCCGTGAATGCGACCATGGCGGCAACTGCGGCAGCCTCTGCAGCTTGCAGCACAACAGCGCACCTTGAGGGAAAAACTCTCCGTCGGTCGAGACCCAGCTTGACGGCTGCGCAAGGCTCTTTCGGCAGTTGTCTTCGATGTTCGTCCAGAAGCCAACATCGAGGTGATCACCGTCTACATCTTGGGGATGAAACGAAGGCATGCATCCGTTCACCCGCTGCTCCTTTTCAGTGTCTCTCTCAGAAGCCTGACGCTTCGCCTGCTGTATATAGCAGGCGAAGCTCTTCGGAGGAGGCGGTTGCAGCGGGCTTGATGACGGGCAGCGCAGAAAGTGGTCGTTTGGGCTTGAACAATGGTTGGCGATGCCGATCGGCCATAGCTGGAGACGTGGCCGTGGCAGAGGACCAGTCGAAATCTTCAGAAACTACAGCGCTACCCTTTCGGATTGGGCATGGGTTCGACCTGCACCGTCTTGAGCCGGGCTTTCCTTTAATCATCGGAGGAGTGAACATTCCTCACGATCGGGGCTGCGATGCGCATTCGGATGGCGACGTTCTGCTTCACTGTTTGGTCGACGCCATTCTTGGAGCGCTGAGTCTTCCAGACATCGGCCAATTGTTTCCGGATAACGATCCCAAGTGGAAGGGCGCGGATTCGACGGTGTTCATGAAAGAGGCGGTGCGCCGAATGCATGAAGCCGGGTATCGTGTCGGGAATGTGGATGCCACTGTCATCTTGCAGAGACCGAAGCTTAGCCCCCATAAGCCGGTGATATTGAAAAACCTCTGTGAGCTATTGGGAGTTGGTGCAGGGGCCGTCAACTTGAAAGCGAAAACACATGAGAAGGTCGACAGCTTGGGGGAGAACAGAAGTGTGGCTTGTCATGCTGTTGTGCTACTAATGAGGAAGGATTAAGGATTTTTTTTAATTTTTTTTTCGTCTTTTTTTTTGCCATGTTGAAGTTTGTTTGTTTGCATCTTTTGCTTTCTTCTCCTCTCACCTTTCTTTGCCTGACTCACGGTTACCCATGATATTCCTGAAAAATGCAAGAATAGAATCCGCATTCTAAATTTAGAATAAAATCCCTTACATCATGATGCGGCTTGTCTGCACTGTTATGTCATGGGGGAGATCGAAGCTGGTCGAAGATCGACAAGGGCGGGGATGGAAGAAGGCGGGGATCGAGAGGAACGGGCAAAACACCCTGCAACCACATAACAGTAGTATGATTGCTTCGACGGCCGTTCTGATGGATTTGCTGGGATCAATGGAGGAGGGTGGATTGATGTGATGTGATGTTCTCTTGAATAAGAGGAATGAAAGAAATGTGATACAAAATATATATAATATTATATGTTATTGTCTTCCTTGGAAATGAGCTCAGCTCTGTGGCTGTCTTTCTCATCCGATGAACGGTCTTCTCATTTCGGTGAGGACAAGAATGCTACAGTATTCTGACACAGGCTGGCTGATGTAGTTTTTTTTTTTCTTTCTTCTGGGATGAGAGGTGGAAATGTAGATGATGATGTGTTAAGAGCATACTTACACCGGGACTTTCTTGGATGCATCTGGCAGCAGTAATGGTCTGTCCAGGATGTATTTTAATTTTTAACTTTGATTACATCCAGAAGTCAGCTGAAAAAGTGCTACCGTCTTCTCACCCAACGCCCGGTCATGATAGCTGTATTTGGTGTAACTAGATCCGGCCATAAGGCCCACAATTACCGGCCGTTCTATTCGGGTGAAGGTGGTAGTGTGATTATACGCTTACATTTCACCAAATAGGCTCAACCCATATAGGTGGCTATTTCGAGTTTTCATTTGTTCACTATCCTTACGTGAACGGATAAAGAGAATAGTCTATGTTTCGCAGTGCAGTGCAGTGCACCAATCTGGCAGGCAACCTGGCTACAATGCCTGCTGCAATTGGGTGGGTGCTGGTGGGTGGGTGGGTGGGTGTTGGTGGGTGCGTCATGATTTACTAATTTGCCTGTTTCCATCGTGTGCATGCCTGTGGAAAATCTGGCTGCCAAACATTTCAACATCTGTTGCCTGACAGCGCTGCCTGTTTGTATGCGGCCTCGCTGCTCAGTCCGAAAGTGCTGCCTGATTGTACTACACGACCTCACTGCTCAATCTGACAGCGCTGGCTGTTTGTACTATGCGACCTCGCCGCTCAATCTGAAAGTGCTGCCTGTTTATATGCAGCCTCCCCCATAATTTTGATCGAAGGAATCATAAAAAATAAGAGACAGATTGAGCGGTGAGGCTGCACACAAACAGGTAGTGCTTTCCATGCACTGGCGCGGCGGGAGCAGTCCGATTCCGTGCACAAAAAAAAGGTACTGGCACTCTAAAGCACCCGTACATTTGCCAGCCATTTGGCTCTGCTGCGGTCAGATAAAAAGGTTCGGCAATTTAAGGTCTGCCATACTGGCTCTTTAAACGACCCATACATTTGCCATCCATTTGTCTGTGACGCAGTCTCCTGTGTGCCGCAAGTTTTGGGGGTTGGCCTACCAGATGCAAATGGACGAGGAAAAAAACCCGGGGGCAGACGGACTCCCCAAGGAGTTCTGGGAGACCTTCTGGTCTCAAATGCCCCCAGACCTCATGGAGTTCTATTGCCGAGTTTGGGAGATGGGGAGTATGGGGGAGCTGGTGGGACAAGGGGTGCTCACGTTGCTGCGCAAAAAAGGAGACATGGTGGATATCAGAAACTACCGCCCTATCACGCTGCTTACCGCCGTGTATAAGATGTTGGTAAAAGCCCTGGCAAACCGGTTGATTCCGGTACTGGACCAGATTATTCACCTGACACAAACTGGTTTTGTCAAAGGCCGTGGAATCCAGGATAATATTTTGTTGGTCAATTAACTCCTTAAACTAACCAGGCAGGATAAATAGAACGGGACCGTGGTCTTCATCAGTTTTGAGAAAGCCTCTGATCACGTCGATTGGCTGTTTTTGGATAGTTGCATGGAAAAAATGAATATAGCCCCGTATTCCGCCGCTGGATCGAAATTCTGCACCACAATGCAACCACAAGCGTCCAGATGAACGGCAGATTGGAGCTGCCATTTCCGCTGCAACGGCCCGTCTGCCAAGGCGATCCGTTGGCACCTTTCCTGTTCATAATTGTGATGGAGGCGCTGGCAGCGAACCTCCGTGCAAACAAAGATATAAAAAAGCTACAGATCTCGACCATCCCCGAAGAAGCAATCCCCATCTGTTCAATGTTTGCGGACGATCTGACACTTATGGTGGATGCTACCATCGAAAACATGGAAGAGATCAGACGACTCTTTGTTGGTGCTCACACAGGACCTTCACTGGTACGCCCTGGCGCTGGAACAGATTGCCCGGCTGGCCCCACAAGCACCACAAACCGTTGACCCCCTACCTTGGCTTGAAAGACCATTTTTGGTCTATCCCACGACACTCCCGTGCCGACCAGACCACGAGCTGGGGCACAGCCCGTGGTGACCTGGCCAGGGATGATTTCTGGATCCGATGCTTGCGAGCTTGGCGCCAGCTCCCGCTCCCAGATAAAACCGGACCAACCAGGTGGGAGGAGGTGGCTAGACAACCCGTGTTTGGGAACAAAAGTATCATGGACCAGAACGAAAGGATATTCTGCAGCTCGGACCCCCGCTAGAGCAGCTGGGTTAAGAAAGGCATACTTAGAGTTGAAGATATCTGGGATTCAGAAAACAAGGACTGGAAAACGGCACCACAGATGAGGACGTCATGGAATACTGTTACAACATAGAAAGGAATCTGGAACAACTAATGTTCGTAATCCCCCTGGATTGGGTGCGCATTCTGCGCAAGGGACCAAGACTAGTGGAAGGGGATTGGGTTGCCGCTCCGGGAGACCCGGAGAGCGTAGGGAGTGTCATAGAGGTATGTGCAAATGAAACATTGGTAAATCTTTTCTATAAAGGAACAGGCAATGTGCTAACCAAATACACCCCGGACGTAACGAGATGGTGGCGGAACGCTGATCTGCACGGATCAGGGTGTTCAAATATAAGGAAGGTCGGATAGTATATCAGTCGCGGATCCGCCTTGCAGACCTCCCCTTTGATCCTGAGGAGTGGCAGCGACCCGCTGCGCAAATAACCTGGGTGACTAAAAATGTAATGCTCTCGTGCCTGTCCGTGAATGCCACATATTGGTTATTGCGCCCCAGAGTAAACTTGAAAGACATCGTCAAGACCCGTTGGAGGTCTCATTTTAATGTGGGGGTCGACGCCATCCGCCCCATTCGGTGGTTTACCCTCATGCAAGCTAGGCCTGCAAAGTTGGCATTGCTACAATGGTAGATAGAACACCGCTGCCTCCCCACCAATGATTGGTTGATAGATCGCACATACCTGGAACAGAAGGCCTAGCGCTCTTATGGTGTAAGTCGTGTTACACGGCGTTCCCTGCAGTCCGGGGGCTGTCCTTACATGGCGATGGTGGGACAAGATCTGGAATCTGTTGGGTGTTGGCTCTACCTGGCCATGGGACTGGACGGCGATCCTATGCAAAACGTGGACCTCCACCTCAGACAGTTCTTTCGAAAACAACATGTTTAAGATAGGGAGGAGAGCTGTCCTGTGGGCCATATGGAGGAGATGCTACATACATGCCATAGAAGGGGTCTGCATAGCCGGGGAGGAAATGACGGACATGGTCAAACAATATGTACACCAAGAGCTTATGGCACAATGGCAGAAAAGTTATAAGTCAGCTGGAGATAAAACTGTGTCACACGTCGTAGAATACTTCGCTAGAGGGAGATCGGGGGACGGCTGCGCTTAGCGCTGCGCTAACACTGGAGGTCCGCTACGGGGGACGATAGCAGGGTCCTACCAGCCATTATGCGTAGGGCAGTGGCGACGCCGACGTCCATAGGCTTTCGTCTTCGGCAATTCCGAGGGCAGAGCCTGGGGCGTCTCTCTCGCTATAGTCAAAACTATAGCGTGTTGCTGCTTGTGAGATACCAAGGGCCAGAGGGATCCCCCCCGACCATATGGACCTGTACTCCTTTGATTGAAGACAGAGTTTTCCTGGAGCTGCATTCGTTCAGAGCATCATTACGGAATACGAGAAGATGACCTCTACATACTTGCAAGCGATGCCTAGACTGTTTGACATACAGGAATAATCTCACCATACTCTTCACCTGGTGTGGGATGGCATACGTTTGACGACGTTACCGAATCTTTCCCTTAAGTTATTGAGGCTTCCACTGATTGACTAATCTGTGCGTCTCCTTTTTTATTCGTGCGTTGACGCTTTAGTTTTTCCGATTGATTCCGACTAGGAGTTAGCGTTGATGGCTCCTGCTGAACCAGTCTCCGCCATACCGCCTGAGGAAAAAACGAGAATCCGTGACCTCGACTCTCAGTGCTATCTCGATGGTTTTCTTCCCCCTCGACTGGCCCCCTCCAAGGTGGAGGTAGGAGATGATTTTATGAGAGTTATAGTTAACCAGGATCTCTATAAAATACAGGCAAAATGGCTTAGGGAACATGCTGTTTCTATCTTTTTTGGCGATGATTCCACATCCATTCCCCTGGACGTTAAAAAACGTCTGGTGAGGATATATGAGAATGGATGGGCCGAGGCAGGGATATTATCCACGCCAGCCAAACGTGGGCTCTTCCACAATGAGGGCCGCAATCTGGTTTCGTACGTGGCTCCCTCAAAGGAAGTGGCCGATTGGATGCTCCACCTCGCCAAAACGGACGTTGAGTTAGATAAAGCCAAATACTCCATCTCGTTCAAGCCGTGGATGACCGAACATGAGTTCACGACATCGCTTTTTTTGGATTCGCTGCCAGCAAGTCCCCTTGGGGGCTTTGCCCGTCCTCCCAGGCGCTGTTCGGGATGCGTTTGGTTGTGATTTGATTAAGGAGTATCCGGCTTTTAAGGATAAATTGCTGCCGGACCTGTTGAATGTGAGGTTTGACTTGGAGTCTGCAGCTCGATTGAAGTATTAACGCTACCTAATTATTGATTTGGGCCTGGATGGTTATGTTGAGATTGAGGTCGTTTGTGCGGATACCCCATGGTGCCCAGCATGCCGACAACATTTTCACTATGAGGGGGATGATGAATGCTCGGCTCGGGGCAAAAAGACTTATGCAAAATCGGTCAGGGGAGAAGAGGGCAAGAAGGGAGACAGGGCTGGAAACAAGGGTGGAGGAGAGAAAGGGGGAGGGAAAGGCGGGGAGAAAGAAGGAAAGGACAAGGATTCGGAGAAGGATCGAGGGAAACTCCCCAGGGGTGAGAAAGACCGTGACCGTGGGACTGATAAGGGAGAGAAAAACGAAGGTACG